TTCATAATGTACATAATTCTGATTGAAGCTAAGGGCATACAACTGTCTAACATGAGTTTTCCTATGAAACTGTATTGTGATAACAAGGCAGCTATTAGCATTGCTCATAATCCAGTTCTACATGACAGGACTAAACATGCTGAGATTGACAGTCACTTTATAAAGGAGAAACTCGAAGAAGGATAAATTTGCACTCCATTTGTACTAACCACTTAACAAGTTGCAGATGTTTTGACTAAGGGCTTGTTGAGACAGCCATTTGAACTTCAAGTTAGCAAGTTGGGCATGATAGATATCTTTGCACCAACTTGAGGGGGAGTGTCGGCAAGATATGATTGGCGGCAAATTAGGAAAGATATGATTTGCTACAAATTTAGAAAGATTTGATTTGATTGATTACAGATTTGATTTGATTACAAATTTGAATAAATTTAGGAAAGATTGGATTTGAATAAAATTAGGAAAGTCATATCCTAGGATTAAGGGAAAGATTTAATCAATCCCTAATTGAGAGAGATTCTAGGAGTAATTGAGAGAGATCCTAGGAGTTTGTCTCTCCTATCTTTTCTTCTTTAAGTTGTATGCTCAACATGTTTTATCAACACATTTTCAATACAGAAGTACTTCTTCTTCTCTCTCTCTTCATTTCTTCTTCTCTTCCACTTTATTTTTCCACATAAATTAAGGAGTGGGGCGGCTGTTTTAAGCACTCCAACCACTCTCTTCTTTCAAATCTTCTCCAACTAGTGCTCCTCTATCTCTCTTCTTCTCTTCTTTTTTTTTTCCTTCTTCTCTTTTATTTTCTGTTCCAAACCTAAAGAATCTCTGTAGTCTTGTACGACTACTTGGTTTCAGAGCCAAATTTAGGGCTTCTCATGTGAGTTTGATCCAACCGACCACATGAGAATTACCTAGGGTTGGAAGAATAGAGAAAGCTCCCTTCCGCTGATTCTTGGAGGTTATCTACAGCAGTAGTCCAAAGATGGGATCAGATCTTTGATAACTTGGAAGAATCCGATGAAGAGAAGAGGATCAAGATCAGTTCTTGATCAAGAATAGAGGTGGCGATCAAAGTTTCAGAAGAATTCTGGTTCAAGATCGGTTTCTTCTATTCAAGACTGAAGTTGATTATCAAGATCAAAGTTTCTTAGAATTTTCTGGTAATTTTTCAAGCCTTTCTTGAAATCAGCAGCAAGGATCTCTTGATATAAGAGGTACGGTTAAGAAAAGAAACCCTTCCTTTCTGCATTTCTTTTAGGGTTTAAGAGAAAACCCTTCCTTTGCTCTTTGGAAGATCTAGTAGTTTTTTTTTTTTTTTTTTTTTTTTTTTTTTTTTT